GACTGATTTGCGCAGGCGTTTGTGTCAAAATAACGCAAACTATAATACTGCATGAACGTATTGGCCTACCAATAACTCTCTATTATCAAAGGCGATGAGGCAGTGGGCGAAGTGATCTCCCGTGCTTTCCGACTAAGACGGAACTGTCTGACGTTTGTGACGTATGACAGTTCCGTCTTAGTCGGACCCTAGGAATGAAGGTTCTAGTCCTCGTCCACTCATTTAGCCTCAAAACTGTTGCCTAATTCTGAATCAGTAGCGAATTTTCGCGTCAAACCAACATCGAGCCGCCTTTTTTCATCAACTGAAGTGAAGGTCTATAACGCCTTTGGAATATAATAAATAAACGGCAGCAAAGCAGGCAACATTTAACCTAATTTATTCCGTCTTTAATTGTCCGCCTTTCGGCGGAAGCGTTTTCTTTTTAGTGCGACGACAGTGAAAAATGAACGTCGTTTTTACTTTATTGGTTAATCAACTGCCAGAGTCTGGTTAGCGCACTACAGTGATTTTCTCCTAAATAGGCGCTAATTGAAAACATTGAAACAAACCGACGTTCCAGCCGATTCCCGGAAAAATTCCCCCCAATCAGTCCATGACCAGACACTCCACATCGCATGTCTGCCGAGTGTATAAAGCCGAACCGGTAATTCCGTTAATAACAGAAATATGAGCTCGATAAATTGAGAGTAACGATCGCTTTACCACACTTTTCAGTTTATTTTTGGACACCATATGAATATACGTTATGGCTTTCACCTGAGCCGAATTTGCCCATATTGTTGCCGGTAGCTGACCGCCAATTTCGTTCGATAATAACGGTAATTTGGGTTTTAATTTTATTTTAACAGATCAAGCGGGGGTGGAATTTCATTAATTGACAAAACTCGTTATTGACTCTTGAAGCTAAACCAGCAACAGAAACTTGTACGTTTTTKGGATTGAGGTCCTAATTTTTAAACAAATCGTTATCGTCCCTTAAAGCYGAGTGGCAGCTAAGTAAAACAGCTGCAAGAACTTGTGTAGTTCTTRAGATTGGGATCATTAATTATCAAACGACGTTCTCAACTCTTGAAATTAAGTAAAATATCTGCAGAAACTTGTGKGGTTTTTGACGCTGTTTTACTCGCGATCAACAATCCGAGTACATGATTRGGCAAATCAAGCAGSGAAAATGTGATGATCAGGGCAACCCAGTGCTTTTTCATTGAAGCTGATGATGCGGGCTAAAATTTGCTATTCCAATGAATTTACTTAAATGGCAGCCACTGTTAAAAATCCGCCACAAATTATACCGGGCGTTCCCTTAAGCGTCTCTATTGTGCGCACCAAAGCTCGAATGTCCCCAAGAGCAACAGCAGCAGCATGTGAAATGTTAAAACCAGAAATTTCATCCAGAAATAACTCCTCACATCCCAGTTGCAACATAGACAAATTTCTGGAAAACTTGGCTAATATGTTGGCGCATTAATGGCAGTAAAAATGGGGTTTTGATGAATTGATGCCCAATTTCCATCAGACACCTTTCGCGTAGATTGTAGGGCGAAAAAGGCCCTTTACCGAACCGCACATAAAACAAGCCAGGTGTGACGTCAAGGGGGCTTTAAAAGCAGCCTGGGGGGCCAAAGTGGGGGGAATTGGCATCACGCCAACGCTGCATTGGAGCAATCCGGTTGTCTGTGTCGTTTACCGCCCACCTGCAGATGATGCGAAAACTTCCATCTTTTTAATTGTCGAAATTTCGGCAGATTTGCCCACAAGTAAAAGAAATTGTTGCCCCGCGTGTCACCCACTTTAACCCCAGCAGTTAAGAACTTGAATAAAAAGCGCATTCTTCGAAAGCTTCTTGGGTTCGGTTGAGACAGGCGCTTTGAAGCCCAAGAGCATCAATTATTTCACTCAAATGTAACTACAAAAGTTTAGATTGTTGAAGGTTAGTTGGGAACTTCTTGTTCGAAACATCAGCCATTAAGCAAAATGTAAAAGTGGAAGTTCGCTTTGACAGAGAGCATAAAATTTAATCTGGTTTCTCTGTAAAATATCGCGCAAAAGTGGAAACAACCAACACAGAGAAAAGGCAATTGCCGAGTAAGAATTACAATGGGGCATCTTCCAAAGGGAGGGTTTTTCCAGTGGAAATGTGCCAATTTTCCATCAATAAGCTGGTAAACTAAGTGCTTTTAGAGTCAATTGAAAAGCGACAAACACACTTAATGTAAAGTTTCCCCATGTTAAACTCC